AATAATAATAATAATAATGCTGATGAGTTTGTGGCCAGCACTGCTGTTCATACTTGGACAAGATATCTCCAGGGAAACACCAGAGCAAGACATTCAAAGGTAGGAGACATTTAATCCTCATAACCCTATGAGGCAGGAATCAGTATCCCCATTTAACAGTTAGGCAAACTGAGGCTCCACAATACAGAGGCTAAGAGTCAGTGGCCTGAGGCTAGCAGCCAGTGAGGGACATGGCAGGGATGCAAACATGGCTTTCAGGGACCCAAGTCTTTCCTCAAAACTACTGTACTGAAAACTGCTCCCCACTTACACTTACTCTGACTCACCGGCTCCAGCGTCACAGTGTGGGAAAGGCTGTAGTGGATGTGCTGTGAAAAGTCCCAGCAAGGCGTACTGCCAGGGCCTAAGGCCAGGACAGCACCTCTGAGTTTTTCCTCCATAAACACAGCCTAGGAGTTTCAACAGAAACTCTGCTAAACTGGATGGGGAAAGAGATTTCGAAAAGCTCAAGACATTCAGAAGCACATGGCTATCCTCTCCTCCTTCCAAAGCAAGGTCTTTATTGTCTGAGCAATCAGTAAGTATTTAACGAGGGCTGGCACTGTACTAGGTACACTGTAGCATAAATACAAAAGTGAAAGACACAGTCCCTGCCCATTTGAGGTGTACAACCTAAATATTTCTCGGAGGCCAGGTGCGGTGGTTCGCGCCTGTAATCCCAACACTTTGGGAGGCTGAGGAGGGCAGATCACAAGGTCAGGAGTTCAAGACCAGCCTGGCCAACATGATGAAACCTTGTCTCCACTAAAAGTATAAAAATTAGCCGGGCATGGTGGCAGATGCCTGTAGTCCCAGCTACTCAGGAGGCTGAGGGAGGAGAATCGCTTGAACCAGGAGGCAGAGGTTGCTGTGAGCCGAGATCACGCCACTGTACTCTAGCCAGGGCAATACAGGAAGACTCCATCTCAAAAAAAAAAAAAAAAAAAAAAAAAAGGTTAAGTAGTAGAAGTGCTTAGGTATTAATGTGGCCAACAGTTGTCTGGATAAACGAGCTCTAGACCACTCAGTGAACCTCCTCTCCAGGACATTTTTATTAATATTTGAAGAACAACATAAAACACATTTCCAGGTGGTTCATGAGATGCCATGGCCATCCAAAAGAGGGAGGCAATGTGGTGGAGCTTGGTCTTGACAAGAGCTATCTCCCATAGTGAAATTTGCCACGAACTCGGGGGCAATACCAGGGGTAGCTGGGAATCTCACATCTCTCAAATTAGCCCCTTGAGTCTGTCACAAACTCTCAGAACTCATAGGCATGTGGTTCTGGGAATGGAAACTAACCAAAACCATCATCTGGACTGAGACAGCCAAACCTGGGGACAGCGCCATCCCAAAAGTGAACCGTCTGCTTCACGGGAAGAACATTTATCTCAGAGCAGGGATGTGGGAGCTGCAGTCACAGAGGACCGAGACCCCAGACGGTGATGGCCAGAGCGCAGACACGACCCTCCGCTGGCCTGTGGGGCTCTGGGAAAGAGCTTCGGCCTCACACTGGGTCACCTCCCCACGGGGTCCCCATCTGGCAAATAAGGGAAGGAACTAGCATATGGAAAAGGCTGGATACCTTCCTAGTGTTATGAAGTCTTGACATGCCAGTGAAAAAGCTCACTGATATCTTTAAATAAAGCATCTTACATCAGGAACTCTGGGCTAAAATACAACGTCAGGGAAAAGTTCCACCAATCTTAACCTCTTCACACCTGCAATAAGCAAGTACCTTTTCTTTCCTGAGGATCATTTGCTTTAAAGCACTGCAGAGTGAGCTGCTAGCTCCAGCAGTGATGGTAAAGAATGACGATTTCTGGGGAGCGTAGTGGCTCATGCCTGTAATCCCAGCACTTTGGAAGGCTGAGGTGGGTGGATCCCTTGAGCTCAGGAGTTAGAGACCACCCCAGGCAACATGGCGAGACCCCATCTCCACAAAAGGTACAAAAATTACCCAGGTGTGGTGTGCACACCTGTAGGAGGCTGAGGTGGGAGGATTGCTTGAGCCCGAGAGGCGGAGGTTGCAGTGAGCTGAGATCGTACCACTGCACTCCAGTTTGGGCGACAGAGTGGGAGGCTGTTTCAAAAAAAAAAAGAAAATTTTTAATAAAAAATAAACATGAAAAGGTACAGTAAAAATATGATTTAAAAAAAAAAAAAAGAATGACAATTCCTTCCTTTTTACGAAAGGACACCAAAGACTAACAGGACTCCAGATGCCAGACCAGGATTGCAACAGCTGAACTCAGTTCCCACTCCAATTCTCCTCCTCCTTTCCACCATGAAGCCCGCTCTGGCCTTCGAGCACTAGCAAGCCCTCTGGACTTCTCCATCAACTGCAAAAATGATCATTAAAGCTACTGAAATGGAAGGTGGTGTTTAAAACTTAACACTGGGTTTCTTAAAATGTAACCTGCTTTTCTTATGGCATGGATAAGGCACTGTGAGAAAGCTGCCTCCACTCCCAGCACACAGGTACACGTGCACGCAGCAGAGGCCAGCCGATGTGGCCACAAGGCACAAAGAATAGATCCTTCTGGTCAGTTCTGGTTCTGGAGCTGGTTGGCGAGCCAGTCCAGGCCTTCATAAAGCCCATGTCCGGTAGTGGCACAAGTAGCCTGAATGTGCCAGTTTCCGTAGCGGAGGGAATGGAGGCCGAGCTTGTCTGTTATCTCTGCCGCGTTCATAGTATTAGGGAGATCCTTGAAAAAGAACATTCAAAAGTCAATGTTTACTGTTGTATCCGTATAGCGAAATATGCTCTTCCCTGCTAAATGTGCCCAAACCCACAGTCTTCTCTGTCGATGGCAACCCCAACCTTCCAGTTGCTCAGGTCAAAAAGCTTGAAATTGTCCTAGCTTTTTTTCTCTCAATGTCACAGCCAATCTGTCAGGAACTCCTAATGGCTCTACCATCAAAATTTATCCAGAATCTGACCACTTACTAACTTCACAGCTGTCACCCCAACCTGACGCCACATCACTTCTCACCTGGATGACTGAAATAACTTCCTAACTGGCCTCCCTACTTCTCTGCTGTGGATCCCGTGAAGCCTATTCTCAACCAAGCCACCAGTGAATCAGATTGAATCATTCCTCTATCAAAACTGCAACAGCTCCCCCTCTCTCAGGATGCGAGTCAGAGTCCTTACGGTCCACAAAGCCTCCTGGACTGGAGACCTCACCGAAGTGGTCGGTTCCATCTTTTCAATATGGCACTCACCATACGTTACTGTATCATGACATTTACTTACTTAAGTATATTTATTATTAACTGTCTGTCTCCCCTAACTAGAATGTAAGCTTTACGAGGGCAGGAATCTTGATCTATCTTGTCCTCTGATGTATCCCAAGTGCCTCAAAATGTGCGTGGCACAGAATAAGCTCAAACTAAATTTGAATAAATCAGCATTAAAGAACAAAGTAAGGCCGGGCACGGTGGCTGACACCTGTAATCCCAGCACTTTGGGAGGCCAAGGCGGGTGGATCACCTGAGGTTGGGAGTTTCACACCAGCCTGACCAACATGGAGAAACCCTGTCTCTACTAAAAATACAAAATTAGCCAGCAGTGGTGGCGCATGCCTGTAATCCCAACTACTTGGGAGGCTGAGGCAGGAGAATTGCTTGAGCCCAGGAGGCGTAAGTTACGATGAGCCAAGATAGCGCCATTGCACTCCAGACTGGACAACAAGGGTGAAACTCCATCTCAATAAACAAACAAACAAACAAACAAACAAATGAACAAAGTAGCTGTAGATGTACTGATATGGAAGGACTTCCAAGATATGCTAAGTGAAAGAACACAATCATACAATTGCTTACACAGGCAGAGAAAGTTGGATTTCTGGAAAGAGAAAGAATAAATTTAACAATGAAGAGTAGCACTAGACTATTTCACTTGAATATTCTGAAGTGTATGCGTATTTATACCATGAGAACATTCTGTTTTTATCACTGAAAACAACAAAGGCACCAAGCACAGTAGCTTACACCTGAAATCCCAGCACTTTGCAGGGCTGAGGTGGGAGGACAGCTTGAGCACAGGTGTTTGAGACCAGCCTGGGCAACATGGCAAGATCTCAGCTCTACAAAGAAAAATTTTTTTTTTTTTTTGAGATGGAGTCTCACTCTGTTGCCTAGGCTGGAGTGCAGTGGGGTGAACTCGGCTCACTGCAAGCTCCGCCTCCTGTGTTCATGCCATTCTCCTGCCTCAGCCTCCCAAGTAGCTGGGACTACAGGCACCCGCCACACGCCCAGCTAACTTTTTGTATTTTTAGTACAGACGAGGTTTCACCATGTTAGCCAGGATGGTCTTGATCTCCTGATCTCCCGATCCGCTCGCCTCGGACTCCCAAAGTGCTGGGATTACAGGCGTGAGTCAAAAAACAAAACAAAACAAAAAAAAGAAAAATTAAAAAATTAGCTGGGCATGGTTGCATGTGCCTGCAGTCCCAGCTACTTGGGAGGCTGAGGAAGGATCACTTGAGCCCAGGAGTTCGAGGCTGCAGTAAACTGTGATCACACCACTCCACTCCAGCCTGGGCGACAAAGACCCTGTCTCAAAACACAACAAAACAAAAAAATCACACACACATACACACACACTCCAGATTCATTTTCTTTCTTTAATAGTCATATATTCACTAGTGCAAACTCTGGACTGACACTGAACCTGAACAGTGGAGTAACAGTTGTACAAATGATGATCCATTGACCATTTAAAATCATGTCTACAAAGAGTTGGATAACAAGAGACAATTTGATAAATCTAAAGTGATAAAACAGGATGCAACATTGTCAAAACAGTATGATCTCAATTACGTAATGAATGCACTCATGGAAGAGAAAGTGAAGGAAGGATGTCAGAATGTGACAGTGGTCATCTCAGGCTGGTACAATTCCACATGGTTCTTTCTACCTTCTTTTTCATGCTTAGTTTAGCTCAGAGTCCTGAGGCTGGATAGTTCTACGCTTGGTCTTCCTCCCATGTTTCTTTTACTGTTTTACATTTATGTACAAGCCCTTTTCCTCCTCCAAAACAGGCCCTATATGATCCAATCTCATCTCCTCTCTCCCCCGCTCATTCTGTTCCAGCTGCGCTGGCTGCCATGCTGCTCCTAGAACCGTGTGGCTCCCTTCCTCCCGGCCTTCTGGTCTCTGCTCAGATGTCATCTTATCGGAGAGGCATTCCCAGTCTTTCCCACACCTACCTTGCCCCCTTACTATGCTTTTCCTTCTTCCACAACACTTACCATCTGACACGTGTTATTATTTGTTTTACTCTGTAGCCCAGGATGGAGCGTAATGGAATAATCTCATCTCACTGCAGCCCCGAACTTCCAGGCTTAAGGGATCCTCCCACCTCAGCCTCCTGAATAGCTGGGACCACAGGTGCATGCCACCACATCCAGCTAATTTTTGTACTTTTTTGTAGAGATGGGGTTTCACTATGTTGCCCAGGCTGGTCTTGAACTCCTGGGCTCAAGTGATCCCCCTGCCACAGCCTCCCAAAATGTTGGGAGTACAGGCATGAGCCACCACACCTGGCACATTACATTTTATTTATTGGTTGACTCTCTTCCCACTAGCAACGTAAACTCCATGAACACGAGGATTTTGTCTGTCTTAGTTTAAGCCTAAAACCAAGTCTGGAACTTAGTAGATGCTCGATGGCTCACACCTGTAATCCCAGCATTTTGGGAGGTCAAGGTGGGCAGATCACTTGAAGTCAGGAGTTCAAGACCAGCCTAGCCAATATGGCGAAACCCAGTCTCTATTAAAAATACAAAAATTAGGAGGGCATGGCAGCACATGCCTGTAATCCCAGTTACTTGGGAGGCTGAGGCAGGAGAATCACTTGAACCTGGGAGGTGGAGGTCACAGTGAGCTGAGATCACACCACTGTACTCCAGCCTGGGCAACAGACTCTGTCTCAGTAAGAAAAAGATATTCTAGCAAGGAGATGGTGGGAGACATTATGGTTGGGACTGGAGAGAGGGAGGCAGACATCTCATTTAAATGTCTACATTCATAAGTGAGACATTTGGCAGTAAATTTCAGTTCCAGCATTCAGAAAGTCAGTAACAACATACCTGTTTATTGGCAAATACCAATAAAACTGCATTTCTGAGCTCATCCTCCTCTAATAAGTAAGTTAGTACTTCCCGGGCCTCATCAATCCGCTCTCTGTCATTACTGTCAACCACAAAAATCAGACCTAGAAAGAAATCACGAGCATGTTAGTGATCTGAGCCTGGAAAACACAGCTGTTTATGTATCTTCACGGCTTCTCCCTGCTTGTGTGTGTGACTTCACAAAGGCAATCAATATGGAAGGATACATCATCTCTAGAGTTAGGAGGCCTGCTGTACACTCAACTCACCTTTTGCAGAAGCATCACAGCTCTGTACCATATTAACAACAAGAATATATACTGAAAAAGTTAGTCTCATTTTATAATCACTTAATTTCCACATCAGGGAAAAAAACATGTTTTTTATTTTTTAATTGATTGATTGATTGATTGATTGATTGGTTTTGAGATGGAGTCTCACTGCAGCCCAGGCTGAAATGCAGTGGCATGATCTCGGCTCACTGTAACCTCCACCTCCCGGGTTCAAGCAATTCTCCTGTCTCAGCCTCCTGATTAGCTGGGATATAGGCACACCATCACACCCAGCTTATTTTTGTATTTTTAGTAGAGACGGGGTTTCACCATATTTGTCAGGCTGGTCTTGAACTCCTGACCTCAGGTGATCTGCCTGCCTCAGTTTCCCAAAGTGCTAGGATTATAGGCATGAGCACGCCGCCTGGCCAAAACATTGTTTTTTTAAAACATGTAAAGTTTATTATAATAAACAGCATTCTAGGTCTAGCTCTCTACAGCAAAACTTGAGACAAAAGGTTAAGTGCAGGTACTTTCTTTGGGAAGTGATCCCAGGGAGCAGGAATGAGGGCCTGAGGAAGTAAAACAGGGAAGAAGGGACAGACAATAGAAGTTATCAAGCTGGGCCCCCACTGTGGGACCAGTGCTCGCTATTGCTGGACATTCTAAGAAGCCATATCAAATGCCCGTCAGAACTGTCCACCCAGGAGACAAAAGAGGAAACAAGTATCCTTCAGTACCCATTCCCTGTTAGTCAAGAACAACTCAACAGGTGTTAGGCCACCCACACTTCTGGGTCACACTGGTATGAACACCAACAGATTCCTAGAGCATCTGTATAGTAATGAATTTGGCTGTTCTAGAAGGTAGCCTCTCAACTCTTGGACTTTGCAGAATGATAGGAGTGTCTTTGTTATCATGGCGGGCGCACATCTGTAAGTTGATGCTAACAAGATGACTCAGGACGGGCCCCTAGATAGTTTATGCTAACAAGATCACCTCTGGAAAAATGAGGGTGCTAAAGTTTGAGTCACATGGCCAATGATTCAATCAATTGTGCCTATACGATGCAGCCGCAATAAGAATGACGAATACTGAAGCTCAGGAGAATGTCGTTGGTTGGCAATACTCTATACATTGTCACGCGTCGATGTGCTGGAAAGGTAACGGCCCCTGACTCCACAGGGAAGAACACTGAAGGCTTTGTGTTTGCTGCCCTCCCAGATCTATGTGTCTTTCCCTTTGACTGGCTCATTTGCATCCTTTTGCTTTATTGATCAATTAATAAAACTGTAATTGTACAGTTGTACATCAGGGATGGGATGTAATGGTACATCCCTGAATTCTGTGAATCATTCTAACAAATGATCAAACCTGAGGGGGTAGTGGAAATCGCCAAATTCGTAGCCATCTGGCCAGAAGTGAGGGTGGTCTGAGGACCCCCAAACCTACTGCCAGCTGGTGGCTGAAGTTGGGGATTCTTGTGGAGGATGGTGCCCTCAACCTGTGAAATAAAGCCCAACTCCACGGGGTTGGTGCTGGAAGTCTCTGCAGCATCCCATACTATAGCATCGGATACATCCCAGGAAGTAAAAGATACCTGGGGCAGGCCAAAGAAAGGCATCACCCCATCACGCCTGAGTGAGGGTGACCAAAGCCTGCACAGACCCAGTCACTACTACATTGGCTGGAGGAAGCTGTGGGGCCAAAAGCATCTCCAGGGAGGGGCACAGGAAGCATCCAACACATCCTCCAAGAACAGGAAGGGGAGACGCCCTTGGCGGTAGTTCACGTGACATTAATGGTAACAACAATCTGTTAGCCAGGTGTGGTGGCTCACGCCTGTAATCCCAGCACTTCAGGAGGCCAAGGTGGGCAGATCACTTGAGGTTAGGGGTTCGAAACCAGCCTGGCCAACATGGCAAAACCCCATCTCTACTAAAAATACAAAAATTAGCCGGGTGTGGTGGCGCACACCTGTGGTCCCAGCTACTCAGGAGGCTGAGGTGAAAGAATTGCTTGAATCCAGGAGGCAGCGGTTGCAGTGAGCCAAGATCGTGCCACTACTCTCCAGCTTAGGTGACAGAGTGAGACCCTGTCTCGGAAAAAACAAAAAAACAAAAAACAAAAAAATTGTGTTTGGCTAACAGTAAGCCCTTAACACAAAAATGTGAAGTGGCTGCCAAAAGAACAGTTTGATCCTAGACTGCATCACCAGTAGTGATGGGGTCTCAGTTCCTAGGACATGGGTGACACCAGGCTTACTCTATATCAGGCAGAACATCCTGGGAACATTACACAGGCAGTGCTGGACTCCACACTCTGAGACATGGGCAAACTGAAGAAATTCAAAAAATGACCAGGAGAGCAAAGGCATTCGACACTCGGCCATATGAAGACCAGCTGCTGTAACTGGAGATTTTACCTGGAGAAAAGATTCATGAGGGGCTGATGGCTATCTTCAAGTAGCTGAAAGTCTATGATGTAAAGAGGATCCAAGCATTTTATAGAGCTCTGTGAGGTGGACTGAAGATCAGTGGTGAAAACTACAGAAGTCAGCCTAACAGAGTGTCAGCAGATGAAGATGCAATGGGCTGCCTCAGAAGGCATTGCTGTCCCTGGAGACGTTTGTTTGTGCACAGCTTCAGTCACAAGTCATGGGGACCCTGCAGAAGAGACCCTGGAAGGAAAACAGCAGCAGGATAAGATGACTTCTTGGTTTCCTCTGACAATGAGATTTCATGACTATGTCCAGGAGACTAAACCAGTGCTGGCCCTCTTCCCTTTCCCTCCGTGCGTCCCAGGCCCACTCAACAGCTGCCTGAACCCACGGCTCCAGAGCAGCCTGCTATGGCTGATAGAGAGTTCCCGCGGCTTCGGCATGTTTGGGGCTTACGCGTGAGTCAATGTCATGTCTGCTACATCATATCAGATTAAAAAATGAAAAACATTCAAAACTCCCCTGAAGATTTCATATGCTATCAGCAGTTCTGGTCTCTCATCATAACTAAGGAAGCCAGATTA